CCCAACGCCAGGGCCGGCGAGGCAGAGGCCTCCGGCCGCAGGGCCCGTTTTCCCTCCCACCCCCACCCACTCCAGGGCCGACATCCGGCCGCAGGGTCCGTTTCCCCGCACCCAACCCCACTCACTCCAGGGCCGGTGACTGGAGGTGCAAGCCTCCGGCTGCCGGGTCCGTTTCCACCCCCCCACTCCAGGACCGGTCGCCTGCTCCCTTCCCCTCCCCCACCACCCACTCCCAACAGGCACTGAGGGGAATGTAGGGTTGCCAGCTCTAAGGAGGGAAATACCTGGAGGTTTGGGGGGTGGATTCTGTAGAGGGCAGCATTGGGCGGGGGGGGGGCGGAAGGACTCAGCAGGTATAATGTCATAGGGTCTACCCTCCAAAGCATCCATTTTCTCCAGGGGAACTGATCTCTGTCATCTGGAGATCAATTGTAGCAGTGGGAGATCTCCAGGTCCCACCTGGAGATTGGCAACCCTAGGGGGAAGTCAGCTGCACAGCAGGGGGTTGAAGAGAATGGTTTGATGGCTGCTGGGCCAAGATTGGCAACAATAGTTCCTGGGGAACTATTTGATGGCTGCTGGGCCAAGATTGGCAACAATAGTTCCTGGGGAACTATTTGATGGCTGCTGGGCCAAGATTGGCAACAATAGTTCCTGGGGAACTATTTGATGGCTGCTGGGCCAAGATTGGCAACAATAGTTCCTGGGGAACTATTTGATGGCTGCTGGGCCAAGATTGGCAACAATAGTTCCCCAGGAGCAAATAGCTGGGTTGGAGGGTGGAGTCTATGACACTGTAACCTGTCTGAGGTCCCCCTTTACGGGCTCCACTCCTCAAATCTCCAGGAATTTCCATACCTAAAGCTGGCAACTTTATCTCCTCCCCTCTCAGCAGCCTCTTATTTTGCCTTAAATTGGTTTTGATGCCAGCAGAGTGAGAAAATGCCAGAGGCTCTGGGTGGGTGCCCCATTGTAAATGCACCAAACAATTCCTAAGGGGGGGGGAGTTTGAGGTATGGAATGTAGTGAAGTCCAATCAGCTTCCATATGCAAAAGACCTTGAAGGTTCCATATGCAACTGACATTCCAACTGCCTTGCGGGGGGGGGGGGAGTTTGAGGTGTGGAATGGAATGAAGTCCAATCAGCTTCCACATGCAAAAGACCTTGAAATACTGGGCGGGACTGCACAAAGCAGCCAGTAACCCTGCCAGCGTCTTCTGACTGACAATTTAATCTTCCATACACTAAAGGGGCCAACTTTAGAACTTTGGCACCCAAAACTCTTTTATTATAAGGGAGAGATACATGGTTGCTGTGAGTATTCATAGGTCTTCCCTGGGACAAAGGTTCCTTCTGTCTCCACCCCCACATCACATTGCCTGAATTGAACCTAATAATAATAATAAATGAACACAGATGATACAATTTGCTTGGTTTCATAGTTCCCAGTAGTGACCAGGGTTTCCAGAATTTTGGCCCCCTTTCTTTGTGTCCTTAAATAGAGAATACATTGAAAACTTTTATGAAACATTTAAAGTAAATAATTAAACAAAGACTACACAGGGCTGGATCCAAAGTTCCTTTTGCATCAGCAGAAGGGTATTCCTTCCATTGTCAGAGGTTTGAGTCCATCCCAATGCTCACAAGTTAACTCCAACATAAAATTTTGAAATGGTACATATAATAAATAAAATCAAAATCCATGCTGATTCATTAATTCAAGCAGTTAAACATTTTAATACCAATTTAAAAATACTATTTCATAAACTAGATCCAGAAGCAAGTCAGCAGGGATTGAACACATAATAATAAGAACATACAGCCTATATCACTATCAACTGTAATGGAAAAAGAGGCACAAACAAGCAGCTAAGGATAAGATCTTTGTTTCCTTAGAGTTGCTAGGTAACAGTACTGCAGTGGTGGTAAAAGCCACAGCTGTCAAGGTAATTGTAAACCTAGCAGGCGTACATAACCTTGGACTATATCACACAGTCCTCAACACTGACTTGTTTACTTGCTTCTTTCTTTCATACTTCTTAGTTTGGCCTTAACTTTAATGGTTTCTCCACAACCCATTATTTTATGATGTTCCTTACTGTTTTTTAAGCCATAGCCTACCATTTCCTTAAGGTACCCTGTCCCTTGACCACCCTCCCTAACATTAATATTGTTCTTTTCACATAACACAAGCTCCTCCTGACAGTGGGTATATCCTTCATTCTCTTGTCTCTCTTAGCTTCCAAATTTCCTTACAATCAACAATCTGTCCCTGTGCAACATTTCAATCCTAGTGAAAACAACAAATGGCCCTTCATTCACAGAAGTTGGTCTGTAAACTGCCTTCTTTCTCAATAAATGGAATATCCCATACCACTACAGCAGCACAGTTGGTTAGTGTTAAAAGATAATAGATCTTTCAATGGCTATTAGCACATCTAGAAGCAGTAAATCTCTGAACGCTAGTGCTGAGGCAATGTTAAGGGAAGGACTTGGCCTCTGTTTGTTGGCTTTCCAGGGCAGGTGGTTGGCCCACTGTCTGAAACAGAATGCCAGACTAGATGCACTGCAGCTCTGATCCAACAGGGCTTTTTTATATTCAGCTCCCACAAGGACAGTTCAAGATAGCTTTCTGATCTTTGAAACAAATTCAGCATGCCATCCTCTTATGAGGTGCATTTTGCCAGATCAGATCTCTGCCTGAGTGAGTGAAGGGAACCATTTCCGGTATTTGTGATGACCATGATAACAGGATAATAAACCATGATGGTGCTGCTTCTTATTTATTTTGATAGTGTTGCGTTCAAAGGATTTGTTTCACAGTGTAAGACAGAAGTCAATTAAAAGGAATGTGTATTCAGCTTGCATGCTGGACCATTGAAAATAAAAGACATTTTAAGATTTGTAAAAATCCGTGAAGGGCACAGAAACCATATTGCATATTCAGTCAGCTGCTAAAGGCTCATGCTCTGCTCCACAGCTTGTCTGAATATAAGCACACAGGGATTCCCCCCCCCCTTTGTATTTGAAATAGTAGAAGAGCCTATAACTGCAGGGGGCTCTCCACACACTTTCCCCCTCTCTACTGCCAGTCCACCCTCTTCTTGACACAGAGGTTTATGACACCTACCACTTTAAACACCAATACAAGTTTATTTAAAATAACAAAGGGGGACAGTGTTATATACAGGGAGTCAATCAGTTGTTCAGTCTTTGTTCCTTTTTTTTAAACTTTGGACTGCTCTTAGGTCTTTTAGTTTTCTTCCAGACCACACCCTTCCTGCACATGCCATCTTTTATATCTCTGTTCTATTGAAGGCTCTCCCA